TTACGTCATTTGCACTACTGTCCATGTATACCCCATATGCTATTTGCACCTCATCACCAACGCCCCGGTGATGCTGAACCATCTGACAATCTCCTGTTATTGTTTTGCACTATTGTCACTGACTGTACTCAGTTTTGAGTCACAGCTTATTGGCTGTACCGTTTAGATTTATCCTAATTACGTCAATCCAGTTCTTATTGTATTCTATTTTTATCCTACTTTATTCTACTTTAGTTCCTAAATGTTATGTCACCCACTACTAGGTGAGAGAGAAACGGTATTTCGATTTTCTGTATGTCCTGCACATATGGTGAATTGACAATAAAATCCTTGAACCTTTATTAACCTCAAATCAAAGAACCTGAGAAAATAAGTTAAGAACAGAGATAATATTGAGTTAATCGACTCAGTGCTGAATGAGCAGTGACTCAGTCCAGTGATTAAGCTCGACTCACCACGCCGATAGAGAAGTAGTTGTTTATAATGCTGTAAGGCACCGGGTCTCCTCGTTCATCCTTGTCCGTGGGTGTGACATCGATCCTCCAGCGATCCAGCATCACCTCTGTGCTGTTCTCAATGTCCCGCAGGATCTTCAGGAGGCTCTCGCCCTCATAACCTCAGAAAGAATGATACGAGATGGGTGTGATGTTACAGAGGGTCAAGGACAGCTTGTGTCATTTGGCTGAAGCTTCCAAGTGACTCGTGGTAAGAAGTACAAACAAACTACCAGTGATCAGTTCTTCTTGATTTACTGATTTCTTTTTAGGCCAACACTGGCAAAAGCACCGCTACAGCAAATGGATTTGGAGACCAGGAATACAATTTTTAACATATTTTATGACTATTTAGTTCACTAACTATATGTAAAGCACAGTTAAGTTCTTGTATATTAAACATTTTGTCCTGCCAGTGAATAGATGGTATTGGTATTGCTATTTGAAAAGAAACTAACTATAAAAATGCTCATAGTGTACATTTCAAAAAAAGAGTTGTAGTGTCCATGATGGTCTAAATGCTGCTTTAGTGACTTTCTACTCTGACAAGAATCAGGAAAAATGTTTAACTTCTGTCTTAAAAATTATTTTATTCAAAAGCATTACTGAACAAATACTGGCTTTGTTAGACAGATGTAAATATCAAACCCCTAATGGTGTAATTTTAGTGTAATTGATGATGGATCATTCAGTGGACTGACAAAAATTTATCAACTTTAATAAAAAATTCCAAACATTCTTTGGTAGCAGCTTCTCCAGGGTGAACATTCTGCTTTAAATGACTGTAAAAGAAGAAGGATTTGAGTATTAGCTGAACAAATCATTAAGACAAGACAATTTTAATAACAGTTTTGGTGATATTAACACTGGGCTATAGCGTAATACACTTATCTTCAACTATGGATGTAATAAGCTGAATTGAGGACATGCATTTCTCCGTTATGCATCAATTTCCTGTCACTACCTCCGCCCCATCGCAGACATCTTGCCAGGTCATTGCCAGTGCCAAGAGGAAGTATACACACAGGGGGGTTCCTGTCCAGGTTGGCCTTATCTGGAGCACAGAGGCAAATATCACAGCACAATGCAAAACCCAGTCCAACCAAAAAATCCAAGTCACTGCAAAGACTTGCAAAAAACAAACAAAAAAAACAACATCACATCCATTTTGCAGCCCCACTTGTAAAACTACAAGTCAATATGAATGTCCAGTTGTACAGTCTATTTCAAGAGACACATTTTGCCTGGCGGTTATTACATCTCTTTGTTTTGATTGATAAAAAATTGAGGCAATTTTTGAGAGTCTGAACAAGTAACACGTCTTCAAGACCAAATAGAGGCGGCCAGGTGATTTTTTTCCCCCCCACAAATGATGACTAATATGTCGTTTTCCAACTCGCATAATCATCCCATTTTACCACCCCTGAATATGCAGGCTCGGGCATAATGAAAGTGTTTATATACAAACCATAAAGTATGCTTTACCAGTTCAGGCTAAACAACAAGAGTGCTGCTGACTTTGAAAATGTATAAAAACAAATGCAATTTTAACCAAAAAGTAAATGAAGTGTTTAGTTTCTATCATGTTGTATGTTACCAGAAACTCGTGATGTACAAGTACATGAGGTTTGGGATTTTGTGATTCTTGTAAAAATAACTGCTAATGTGAAAGTAGTGCAGGAACCAAATTCTTAATAACATCATCATAATGTCAAATATGAAATGCAGAACATCCTGTGTACCTATGAAGTCTAGAATCCAGCCCACGGTGCCATCCCCTCCACAGGTCAACACCCTGAAATCAGGAACATCTCTGAAGAAGTTCAACCTGTAACAAACACAGTCCACTCTATATTAGTGCCACACGACAAGTTGGTGTAAATATATATTGGACTTTTAAATGTTTTGTACTTCATACACGTATTCCGGTGAACCTTTAATGTTGTGCTCAGTGTTAATATGCTGTAGATGTTTCTTTTTGATCCTCCCACTATACTCATTGGACTTTCAGTTGTAGAGGACATTAACCCCAGAATATACCGTGTACTGCCAATCCTATGTGGAAACCTTATGTTTTATTATCACAGGACTAAACTTCCTCATACTCATCATAGCCAATGTTGTGTGTGAGAAGTGTAAACTTAAAGTAAAACAATCATTTTGTTCTTTGACCCTTATTAAGACCAACTATATATAGAAAAGTAGTTAGTTAGTGACAACCCTTCAACTTGTCTCAAGTTTGTACATTTAATGACAGTGACCACATACAGTAGTCATGACGTAATACACAGAGCGTACAGGTGCGTGTTTGGAAGAGTTGTGGTGGATGGCTGGGTCAAAACAAAGCTTTCTCACAGTGTCTGATTTCTGTATAAAATGGGTTTTAAAATTTTAATTCAATGCAGCATGTTTATTATGACAGCGGTTATTTTAACCCAAATCACTGCCTTTGTCTAACGCTAACCAAATTATTTCGTGTGTAAACCTAATAAAACTGTGACCGTTCCATAAGCATAATCGTGTGTTTCCATGACAGTGAAAGTCTGGTACTGTACATTTGCCAATGAAATGTTCGTATGGTGCGTGTGACAAAAATGTACAATGTCTTAACACGGAGGTTACTTATATTACCAGTTAGGAACAAACAGTTTTAATGGTCCATCAACAAAGATCTAAGAAGACCTATTTGCATTGAAAGCACTGTCAACAGCAATCACAGATCCAGAAAATGTATGATATTTAATGATTTACAGTTGAGGCATTTGAAACCCGACAAACTGTTGAACTAGTGATTTGGTTTGTGTGGCAGACTTCAGAAACCACATTTGTGAGTAATTCTCATAAAGTTAGGAAAAGTCTAAGTACTAAGAGTCCCCAGAGCCCCAAACAGAATATTAGGGTTAAGATTGGCACACATTTTCTATAATTCTATGAATTTTCTTTTTATATTCAATGTACATTTTTAGTCTATTGAGATTATTTGTAAATATGATTGCTCTGGAAGTGTTTACTCTGAGGTCCCATTGCTTTATGGAGCAAAATACGTTTGGCATTGCCATCATTCTGAGGCGCTTCTTCATTTTCTAGGTTTTTCATGTTTTGTTGGCTCATGTCATTTTATTTTATTATCAAATCCCACAAGAAATGACTTTCTTTGCATTCTGCTAAAAAAGATTAAAAAAATAAAGGTTAAACCATTTCAGCTTTTCTCCACCTTCTTTGACAATAAAAGAAAGCAAGCACACACAATGCAGGCACAGTGTGCAGATCATGAGCATATTTTTGAGCCCGCTGCCACAACATGCTGCTTCACTGCACACCCTCTCTAATCCCACAAAACAACACGTTGCATTGACAATTATTCATTCAGTGAGCTAGCCTGCCTGTTCGAGGGCTAATTGGATCATGACAGGCAATGTTGAGTCCAACTTCTTCCGTTCCTTCACAATAACAAAGCCTTAACTGAATGAGCCAGCATCTGAGCCTTGTATGGCGGGTAAATGATTCGCTCAATTACACTCCAACTGGGACCACAAACCGTATTAGACCAAAACAGACGGCTGCAAACATGAAAGGCAACTTTGGGGATATTTAAATACCAAGAAACAAAACACTTAATTTGCTCTAACTGCATTAGTGAGGCAGCTAATTGACAGTGTGTGCGGCTGCCTCGGCCTGCAGTGTCCGACGGTGACCGTTCACCTCACTAATGTGCACTGCAGTGCGTACACTTTAACAAAGTATAACAAGGTTACAAAGGGGCAAGGTCATCTGGAATGTTCTCAGCTCTCAGAAGAGGCTGAGTTCAGAGGGAGGCAGGTAATGCTTCAGGCCACGTGTAGGGCCATCAGTAGAAGAGAAACAACAGGGGACACAAGGTTGCTCCACAAAAACTAGGCATTGGCACAATCAGTGACAAGAAATGTGTGCCAGTTCCTCACACAGACAGTCCAAACCTGATGTGTGTTTTTGTACCCTCTATGTGATGGATGTATTTATATTTTCTAAGTCGCAAAGATTCTGTTTTCAGTTCTAATCAAAGCAAAACAACGTGGCAGCACGATGGCGAGTATTCCTGTGCATCTGAACACTGCTGGGTGCAAACAGCGAAATGGAGGAGCCTTATGCATGTAAATGATCCATTCATTTTCTTAATCGCAAATGTGAAGCATAGGAAACCCGAGGCTGGCCGCACCTACAGCCTGCAGTGAGCTGCTCGTCTGTATGCATGATCACATGTGATATAGTGAGGGTTTCACCCCTCTCTATCTGTCAGCCCTTGGTGTCACTGGCGCTCTGTTCACATATGGGCCTATGCATATGAAGCCACCGCTCATCTGAGGCTACAGGATCATCCAGTCATCTCCAGGATTCGTTATGTGTGCACTCACCTCATTTGGGTGTGTGCTGGGAGTGAAAGCTCTAATTCTAAAAGTCTCTCTTGCATGTGAGGCTGGTTATTATATGTGAGCAACAACAAAAAACGGCAAGATATTTGTAAGCAGAAGCTCATTATCTGATATGTATAGGGCTGACTAGCAAAAAGATGAATTGTGACTTGAATTTTTTTGTTCTCCATTTGGTCCTCTGTCCTCTTTATTTGATGCAAACAACTAAAGTCAAATTAAATATCAGAAAATGACTAATGAGACTTTTGAATGCAATGTGTCAGTTGGAACATCTTCTAAAAGAAAAACTTTAAAAAGCCTATGCAGTGTGTAGCCTGCTTCTATGAAGCAGTATTGAGAAAATTTATCTCTATTTGAGTTCGGAGCTTCTCATTAAACAGCATATAATTTGATATCCAGTATTACACTTGCTATAAACAAAAGATGCACATCAGGGCCTGTATTCCTCAAACCTCTAAAATTTACACCTAAGAATGGTGTAAAGAGCCCACGTAGAAGTACAAAAGTTCTTCACTGCGTTCTTCAAGGAGATTTTTCAGGCAGCTCTCTCCTACTTAGAGTAAGGTGAATTGTAACAGTGACCTTAAGAGCAGCTCTCAAGTATTTTTTTTTTATCCTTGTTTTACTTTAACATTATTGTGTAAAAACATCATTTTAATGTTAAATTTCTTTTTGTGTGCAGTCCTTGACACCTCAAGTAGCACGCAGCTAGAGGAGGCATGTCAGAGAAATGGAAAGTGAAAGCTCGTGTAAAGCTCGGCCAGTGTTTGGAAGAGGATGAGGGCCACTGGACAAAATTTGACTTCTGACTTTTTCCCCTCAGAATTCTGAGAAAAAAGAAACAAATTTTGTCCAGTGGCCCTCATCCTCTTCTGCATCAATAATGATGTGTACAGTCATACAACATCTCTCAGACCTCACCTCTGTTTCTGCAGTCATCCAGGAGCTACACTTAATTAACTTCAGGCTGTAAGATTTGATAAATAGCTTTTATTTGTATATTTGTGGGTAAAGTGAAGGCTTTCACTGTTAGCAGCTTGATAAATCCAGGCCTAAGTCAGTGACATATCGGAGTAACCGTCCCACACCTCAGAATTGTGAACTACCTGTACATACCCTGGCATGGGTCCATTCTTGGCCAGGTTATACACTTGTCTCGGATTCAGAAGATACTGGAACTTTCTGTAAATCCTGCAAGAGTGAAGATGCACAGAGATCACATGACAACAAACAGACACTCACCAGGCAAACACCTGACTCTGATGTGATAGATTAGACTAAAATGATACATTAATGTCAGTACTTTGTCCTGTAAGTGCCGAGACGCTGGCCTGCGATCAGCGTGCGACAAGGCCGTGGCCTGGGCAGTGGGGTGGGACATACCCAAAGTCCCCTTGAGGAGAAACCATTAGAAAGACTAATTCATTTTAATTTCAATTTCATTATATCAACTGGCTGAAGTCATATTTTGATCTCATAATTTAAACAAATGAGGGCCGGTGTAATAAGGAGTGAATGAATATGTTTCAGTAATAACCCAATTAGCCCTGGGTTAAAAAGAGAGACCAGCCAGTGACATGACAGCGAAGAGGGTGTCTGAGGAGAGGAGGGTGTGTGTGTGTGTGTGTGTGTGAGTGTGTGTGTGTGTGTGTGTGTGTGAGCTGACAATGGAGGCGACTGGCGCTTTAGGTAAATGTTATTGTGTTTTTGACTAAGCCTAAAGCACTTGGCAGCCACAGGCCACGCGGCTGCTGCCTTCCTTCTGTGACTGAGGAGAGGGGCTTTAGAGGCCTCTTGTAGCATGGTGAGACAGATTGTGTACTTACCTCTCTCCCTGCTTCCCCCCGCTCTTTGGATTGACAAACACTAGCAGAGGATGAGTGCCCTCTATTGTTGTGATCTGAATGAGAGATGTCAAAACAAAACATTGGCGTTTAGAGACTGCAGGATGCTTCACAGGAATTCACTTTTAAGGCATACCCCACAGACATTTTCACTACACTTCCAAGCCGTGCCAGTCATGTGATGCTTTTTCTGTTTCCTGGTTATGGCTAAGGTGTAAGCACTCTCCGTTTCTTTGCCTGAGCCCAGACCTAATTATAATGTCTAATGGTGATAAAGTCACCGGGAATATATTTTTAAGCCAAAATTTCCAAAAATACTTTACACTATTGTTCCCTTTAATCAGGGATTTAAGCATAGTGGTGACATTAGTCTATATTGTTCTTATTGTCAAGAAAATCCATGAAAACTAACATGGGGCGAGTCTACCTCTAAATACACTGTTAGTCCCTACCTGGTCTGTGGACTCAGCCCTAAGCATATGGACTTACTGTACTGAAGATGTTAATGTTTGACAAGAGGTCGCAAGTAATTTTCTAAAACATGTGGACAACTATTAACTGCAACTATTACTTAAACAGGACCAACGTGTGCACTTGTTAGGGACTATTTTCAGCGGCAGATTAACCCATATTTAGTATTTACAGCTGCAGGACAGTGGATGCAGGGTTGAGTTGAGATAAACTATAGTGATTTTAAGTTTAGGAATTGTTGATGGCAACCAGTCTTATCAATTAATGCTTTTTTGAACTGACTAGACAAGCTTTTGCGCTAGTTTTTATCCACATCTAGCAGATACTGAGGTTTATTTCTAGCTTTTGTGGGGTTAACCACATTAGCTGGAGGCTGTACTTTAGGCTTCAGACGGCGCTGGATATACCGCACAGTAAAACAACCCATCTCTTATCTAATCAATACTCTCAACCTGAGAACTCATGATTCACAGTCTGTACTAGTTGTAATAGTTATTTGTCACTGCTTCCTAATTGGCAGGGTAGTTTGTCTTGTGTGACATGAGAAAAGATTTTGCAGTTTTTCTAAGCAGTGGACAGACGGAGCCCGTGGTGCCGGAGGACGAGCACACAAAGCTGCACATAAACAAGCTATAATCCAGCAGCAGCAGTTCGAACTGCCCTTCCTGCAGTCAGTCTGCAACAACTCGCCCCATGCTCTCCCTGACACAGATGAAGCACTTAACTCCCCCTGTCTGCTATCCCAGCAGGCCCAGGGTGAATTAATGAGCTCCCTGTCCAGTCCAGAGTGATCCATTACTTCCTGTAATTATAAATAATAATCTTGATTATTATGCTGGTTAGCTGGCAAGAGGCATAGATTGATCTGCCTGGGATATGATTCATCATATTTCTCTCTCAGCCACATGCAGACGAGCAGTCGCCACAGACGGCGGCAGGTTTCCATCGCCAGCCCGCTGGCTGACAATTATCAGAGAGGATCAGGCCGCACCGGGCTCTGTTGTATGATACTGATTAGCAGCAGAGCCCCATCACACAGCTCAAGTACTGAGGGTCACCTCAAAACACAGTGGTAAATGTTTTGATGCAACGATAAAATAACTGTTTTGGTGACCTGTCTACAACTGGTAGATAAATACTAGATCCTGGCCGACTTACGCTGGCTCCCTGTTCATTTTAAAATTCAACTTAAGATTCTGTTGATTGCTTTTAAATCCCTTCACGGTCTGGCTCTGGCTCATAACCCCTTCATTTGCTCCAGGACACCTGAGATCTGACAGTCAGATGTTCTTACAAGTTGGAATAAAGGTTTTTATTGTTTTAATTCCAACACTGTGGAAGAAACTCCTACTCAGTATCAGATCAGCTGAGTCAGAAGCTTTTAAAAAAAATCTAATTTTAAAAATTCTTTTTACTCCATTGGTTTCATGTTGGCCTTTTAATATTTTAATTCTCTATGTTTGGTGACTCCAAGATTCTTGACACTATAGCGGCAAAAATAGTTGACTTACAGAAGCTTACTGCTGTTCTAACTTCATTTACAACTTTTGCTTATCTGGTGAACATCTGATAAACTGTGTCCAGATTGTACATTGACTTTGAAAAATGTATCTACATTGTTGCTGCATTACATTTCAGGGAAATGTTTTCTTAAATCCACTTCTGACAGTTTTGCCTCACTGAGAACAATATGTGAAAAAATAAAACAAAACAGATCTATATTAAATTTAGTTAGATTACATCTAAGTGATCCATGTGTACACAGGGGCACTACTCTATCAGTATTCCTGTACTGTATCTCTACTGTAAGATGCTGAAGCGGTACGCCGAGCTCTGAGTGACACCTGCAGTCCTTGGCCGTCCACTGTGACTGAGTTGGCTCTCTGCATCTTCCCTCGGCTCGACTGGCTGGATCTGGAGTCTTTCCTCAGTGTAGACTGCCTTTCCTGGGGTCAAAGGTCATACAATGAGGCTGTTAAAGGCTGGATAAATGAAGTTTCATTCCAAAATGGTGAGACAAATTTAAAGTTTACAGTATATGCATTTTAACTGGACTATGTTTTTTGTATTTCATTTATTGATACCAGGACCGTAACAACGAGTGTGATCTCACTACTTTTTCTGATTACTTTTAGGTCAACAGAGTTAGTATCTCTATAACTAATTCAGTTCTGGCAGCCTGAAGACAGCTTTAAAACAGCATTTAGACCATCAGGCTGGAAAATAAATCACTTTGGGCGTAATTTTCATACAATGTGTGAATCCAGAAATGGCCTGGACTATTTAATCTGGTGCTATGAGACAGTTATTTCAGTTAGTCTCAATTATACAAGCAGATGTTGAATTTCCTGCTAAGTTTAAATACAATTTGCAGAAAATACAAATAACCCCAAAAATAAAATACTGATAAATCAAAATATAATTAAAAATAGAACTTCTTGGTGTCTTGATTGGTTGTTTGGTGCACTTACAACCTCAGTATTTCCAAAACCCTTTATGCACATCTGGTTGTAACAATGTTCTTATGTGGCCTGTTTGGGTAACTCTTATCAGAATTTAAAAGATTACACAAATAGATCATCTTAAAAAGCAATTTTAGGCAAGATTGTATTCTTATTAAACTTGTATCATGTTGAAATCAACTCTAAAAATGAGAACAAATAAAGCTTTGCCATTTCAGAACTCAGTGGGAGAACACAGGCTGATGATTGAATCCTCAGATCACAGTGTCAAACGAGGCCAGGCTCACTCCGCCGCGGGTCTGCTGACCAGCGAGAGGTCAGCTCTTACCAGGACGACGGGGCAGATTGAGTTGGGGGGCAGGATATGATCCTTCAGGGGTCCGCAGTCACACTCAGGTTTCACATGGGAGGCACACTTGTTATGGAGCTAGAGGAGGTAGCAGCCGTTATTAGATACCAAACTGGTATCAGTAAAGTAAATAAGTAAATAAGTGTGGATAAATAAGTGCATCACATATCGTTGCCTGTTTTATTTTGTATTAACTTGCAACCACAAACAAGTATTTTCTGGGTGTAAATTGGTGGGATGACTTGTAAGGTATCAGAGGTGCAAAAATGAAACCCTAAACAACAAGAAGCAGTGGGAATATAATGAGGAGGTGGCTGCCTCTCCTTGGGTGGCGGCTTACCGTGATCTGACACCACACACAGTGGAGCCCAGTCAGGCCTTGGTAGCACTTAATGGTTTTGTGACACTTGTCACACTTGGTGGGGCAGTTCCCTTCTACCCAGAAATGATGCATTGCCTGTGGAGAGAGGCACAGACAGCATACAGGGAGGGAAAAGAAGTGAGAAAAGAAAACCTGGTGCAGAAAAACAAGGTATATACAAAAGCACATGTGACAACAATTAAAAAAAGCAAGAGGAAAAGAAAACAAGACAGAAGGAAACAAAAGGCAAAAGGCGAGCAAGGAAAGAGGCCAAACAAATGATGGCGCCTGCATCTGTGTCTTTAAACCAGGATTATCTTGTAATTATCAATGCTTAGCAGCACACTGAGTTGCTTTAATTTCATTAAAGAAGGAGAAGCTCTTGTCCTAAATTCCATGGAGCGTTGCTGATCCATGCGTGCCGACTGGTAAACACTTCAATTGGATGCACCTCTGTGTTTTTCTTGGACTTGACATAGGTTTTGATGCATGACAGCGGAGCCCGAGCCACACAGCGCTCGTGGACTGTGTACTTGCAGACTAGGGGAAAGAAAAAGGAGCATTTTAAGGTTTTCAAATAAGAAAATATCTAGCACAAAAGAAAGAAACTCTGACTTTTCATATAGTTCATACATGCATGTTTGGGTAGTGTGTCTAAGAAAGCTGTACTGAAGGTGTGTGTTGCCAGTTAGAACTGGGGGATTTATAGACAAAGGAAAATGGCCTTTGGGACTGAAACACAGTTTATACTTTCAAAATAAAAAAATATATAGGTTTTTCATTTGGTCTTGGAGTGGCTTGGTTCTATTTTTCCCCCTCAGTTAAAATTTTGTGGTGATTTTTTTTTTCCGTTTATTGTTTTTTCTTCACATTTTTGTCCAGTCAGACCATCATGGGAGACTAAAAATAAGACTAATTACATCTGTATTTTAGGCCCAGGTGAAAAATAAGATTGTTATTTTATCAGCGCTGTAACACAGAAAACAGTGACGCAGTATGTTGAATCGTAGTTTTGTATCCATCTGTAGAAATCTGTCAAACCCTAACAGCGAGTTACTCACACGAGCAGCAGAGACCCTGCTTCCCCAGTCCAATTAGCATGTTAAGACACAGGTTACAGTAGGCTGGTTTGTTGAAGTGTTTCAATCTCCACACGTGCTGCCCATCATCTTTTACATTCTGTGGGGAGAGAAACACAGAAAATGAATCACTGATTGAAAGATCGGTGACTGCTCATTGCATGATTTTATATTCTGGTGGGAGAATCATCAGATAATTATGTGACTGATTAATTTGTCAGCTTGTTGGTTGTCAGATGAATTGTATACAAAATCATTTTTAGTTCTGTTACTTTTGAACTTGCAGCCATGTAGTCAAAATCCAATAAAGACAGAGGGCAGGTATTTCTGTCTTCGCTTTGCAGTAATATTCATTCATAAAAAAAAATTTAAAAAAAGACATCTGGTGGGGATTTCTGTCGAAGCTAGTCAAATGTTTCCATCTAGTGGAAGTATTATGAACTCATGTTGCAGCAGGGGTGCACATACAGTATATGGGGATGTCAGGAAACCACAGGGGCATGTGTCACATGTTATAAGATGATGCACGAATTGGAGGAAATGGTTTAATAATGTTGAGGCATCATGTAATGACTTAGGACTTGCTTGATGTCACAGTAACACTGAACCCTTTAGACGTTAGGTTTACTGTAGATGATATCGCAAAACATGTTAATAAGTGTAAATATATATTCACCACACTGTGTTGGTACAAAATCCCTGATGTGTTGATGCAGTTTGAAAAGTTCCCAAATTTTATTCTATGTAAAAGGCCAAAGGGCCGTGAGGGCTCTTTATCCTTAAGGAAATGGCTACAGTATATAGTTAATGGATGGATGCCTTTTGTTTGTGAAATAGCACATATTCACTGGCTCTAGTCTTTTTCAGATGATCAAGTATAGTAGCCTGACCTATCCAGGGGTAATAAACCAGTTCATTTCAGTGCCACATTTTCAATTTTAGTAATTTGGCTGTCACTCGGAGCCATGATAATTTACAGTGAGCCATTAGAGAACAGATGTAAAAGTAATCTTGTGACTCTAGAGTGATTACCATAACTCAGGCAGGCATCAGATGAAGCAAGGTAAAACGACCCAAGAAGAGACTGATACAGTCAATTTACACTTGCAGAAAGCGAGAAAAGATTTCTTCATCTTTTTGGCTGGTGAATGAAAAGCAGTGAAGTACCCCTCATCACAGTGTGCATTAAATATGGGTGTATTATGAGAACTGGATAGATGGCGCCCTTTCTTTCTACTTAAAGATGCTCGCCTCGAGCACAAGAAAAACGTTTTCTTCCAAGTTGTTCCCATGTTCTGTGGCCGACTGCACATCAGAAAATGTGCGTTTCCTGTGTGGACTCACGGTCTCCAGGCCCAGCAGGACCAGCAGCGGGATGGTCGTCATGCCTCCCTGGATCCACTCCTCCAGTGACACGGTGCCATCGTGGTCATAGTCGATCTCCTGCATCATTTCCTGGAGGATCTTGAACAAAAACATTGATGAAAAAAGAAGAAGAGAAGCTTAACTTCAGTAGTGGAGCCAGTGCTCACTGACAACTGGAGCCTGGAAGTGACAAAGGATATATATTAATCAATGAAAAGATAAATAAATGAGCATAATAAATAAAAAGATTTGCCTAACTAATATGTAATAAAGACAATGGGCAATGCAAATATACTGTATAAATAATTTTATTTTTAGCAATAAATAAAGAAAAAGTATTAAAATCAAATGCAGAAATAGAAGAACTATTGCTCAACTTTTCCTTTTTGAAACATTTTGATCTATCATGCACATTTTATTTTGTTGTAGGTCCCTATAACCGACAAAAGAAAATAAAAAACAAATCATCATTTAATGTTAAAGTTGCTCACAAGAGGTTCCACACTTGGAGATTTTGTCTTAAATTATTTGTATGATAACGACCCAAGACGTTTGCTTTACTGTATATTCAATTCATAATACAACAGCATCTTGTTGAGTGGCGACTCTAAACTGACCCTAGGAGTGAATGTGTGTGATTGTCTAAGTGTCGGCCCTGTGATAGACTGGCAACCTGTCCAGGCTGTACCCCGCCTCTCGCCCAGTGTGAGCTGGGATTGGCTCCAGCCTCTCTCATGACCCTGTTCAGGATAAGCAGTATTGATAGTGGATGGATGGATTATATCGTCTTTCTTACTGGTTTCAGCTCAGTCACGTCCCACTCCAGGTACTCTGCCACATGCATCATCTGGGAGATAATGTGCTCCAGCTCCTGCAGTGAGACCACAGACATTCATTACAGGCACAAAAATACTGTATTTACCTTTCTGTGTATTGTAGCCTTACAAGTTGATGTCACTAAATGTCTGTGGCGTGAATAGACTGATAAACAGTGTGTAATAGCAGGTTGGGAGTGTCACTCTTCCACACAGAGAAAAACAAAAGGCAGCATACGAAGCTCTCCAAGGCTGATGGGTTAATTACAGTGGTTGCTTTTTTGGGGACAGTATTTGGGGGGATGGGGTGACATTATCTAGTGGCAGACTGAATCACTGTGATGCACTTTGGACTTCTTTAATATGTCTAGTAGCAGTGGAGATCAAGAGTTCAGGCAGATAAAATCCAGAGCACCACTGGAGTCATACTAAATTAATCTCTCTGCTTCGCTTACCCTGTTTTTCTCCCTTTCCCAGCCAGTAATGGGTTACTAATAACGGGGTACACTACACAGCCTCCTACACCCACCCCGCCCTTTGCCTTCTCCCTCTTAACCCACCAATTCCAATTCCTCCTACGCACTTTCTATACATATGGACAGAAACACTAGTGCTCTTTCATTCATAAATACACCAACATCCCATATTCCTGTTTTATTCTTCCTTCCTTTCATTCAACCCCTCATTTACTCCCACCATGTTTTGAGGTATTACACATCCAGAACAGGAAAATACTGATTACATGTTTGCATTATTTACTGCTTGACAATTCTGATACTTTGCGAGATCAAGTCAATTCAGTTAAATGTTTTAATTATGCAAAACCACCCACTTCACAGCACTAGAGTTATAAGTCAGAAGAGTTTTTCCTAGCCTGGAAAGATAGTTTAATAATGTATAAAAAGACCTTCCTAGTGCCGGAGCTGCATATTAGTCATCACTGATAGATGAAAATAAGAACAACCCCAGGTTTCTTTTCAGCACTGTAGCCTGGCTGACAAAGAGCCACAGTGCTGTTGAGTTTAATATTCCCTCAGCAATGACTTAATGAGCTTCTTTACAAATAAAATCACAACTATTAGAGTAAAAATTAATCAAAATTAATAGCCTCTACTTCATCCAAAATGCTGCAGCCAGAGTACCGACAGGAACAAGCAAGAGAGATCATATCACTGCCATATTAGCTTCTCTCCACTGGCTCCCTGTAAAATCCAGAATAGATTTTACAATCCTTCTACTAACATACAAAGCCCTTAATGACAAGGTTCTATTGTATCTTAAAGACCTCATAGTATCACCCTCCCTGTACCTTTCTGTAGGTTGCCCTGGCCCTGGACCTCTACATCTCTGACAAGCAGTCACCAGCCACATCAACCTGACCAGTGTTTGTTGTTGTGTCCTGTTGCTTTTCTTCTTTTGTCTCTCCTCTATCCACTCACCCCAACCGGTCGAGGCAGAAGGCCGCCCACCAAGAGCCGGGGTCTGTCGGAGGTTTCTTCCATTTTAAGGCAGTTTTTCCTCCTGGCTGTCGCCAAGTGCTGCTCAAGGGGGATTTGTTGGGTTTTCCTGTATAATAATAGTAAGGTCTAGACCTTACTTTGTAAAGTGTCCTGAGATGACTTTTGTAATGTGGCACTATACAAATAAAATTTGAATATATTAGACTATTGCTACTGATTGATCTGTTGGTTAGTATAATTATTTTAATAAAATATTTGCCTCTCAACTTCAGCTGAGAATAGAATTTCTACAATAATTCCACAATGTTTTTACTAATGGGTGACACGCCTGTAATACCTCTGTTATACCTCCACTGTAATTTTGTATTTTGATTTTGCTCATCATTCCTGATCAGTGCTGTAGTCAGTCTTTGGGTTTTGAGGTGCTGGGTGGGAAACTGTGGCACACATTTTTCACCGTTTTATTACCTCAACTATTAATTGATTAATCAGGAACATAATGGGCAGATTCACTGAAAATGAAAACACTTATTAGTTGCAGCTCTAGACACACAAACATAAAAGTGCCACTTCTCATTGCTGCATTGTTGCTGCGTTCAATCTGCTGATTTTACTGTTGACTTAAAAAGTACACTCAACTAAATCTTATTAGAAATTATTTGAAATATTTAACCAGTATAAACACCAACAATTGAGTATATGTTACACTTTAAAAGGGCCGATGGTGCTTTTCCTTGTTTTTTTTTTACTTCTCCACAATGTTACAATGGTGAATTATCATCTTAGATGTCCAAGTATTTTTATGCAAAAGCAACTGGGTTTATACACATCTTGCAAACTCTCGCTCACAAGATTTTTTTTCTAACAACAAAGTATTACGTGTTAGATTAAGGATTTCCTTGAATGGGCATTAAATCCAGGCCGTTGCACGTTCATGTGAGTTTGCCTGACATCCACCGGTGCCCCCACCATATTGGCAAAATGTTACTTTGCCTTGTTTGTTATGTGTATTTTCAATAAAATTTGTGTTACTAAAAAAAAAAAGAAAAAAAAACACATCCACCAGTGCCATTGTATAAGCAGGATTTTTCAACTGTGCCCAGTTTTCTGGCTATATTTTCCCTGCTGCTGTTGCACTGTGGCTAGAGGATGTAGAGAAAAATACAGAGCCTGAGGTTACCGCATGTCCAGGAATGTTCCTCTCATGGCGTTATTGTCGGAACTATGCTACTTGTTGGAATTTGTTTCACTGCTTTGGGACTGTATGTGGTCGTGTGGGGGAAGACACAGTGACCACCGGTTGGATTTACCGACCATGGAGCTACTTGAAAAGGAGTGATGTTTCCACAACTCAATGGGACTTAACGGTAAATTAAAAAAAAGAAAAAAAGAAAAAAGAACACGTTGTGTTGTCCACTTGCGACAACATCAGCAGCAGGAGTTGTATGTGTTCATGAACTGTCCTCAGAGACTTTTTGGCTCTCTGATTCTGAAACAATTACAAACTATTTGGAGTTATGAGGGGTACTAAGCTAATCTAAAGGTACCCAAGATTAAACATTAAATGGAAATGAGCAAAATGAGCAGCCATGGGCTCTTTAATTAACAACAATGGATTTTCAGTAAAAAAAAATAAACAAACAAACATGCTTTAAGAGGAGAGAGAGTTACCGAGCTGTCCAGACACCCATTTCCATCTGTGTCATAGAGGCGAAACATAACTGTGGAGACAAAAACAACAATGTCAGGCTACAGTATTAACATCCATCCAACTGTGAACTTCACTGCACACAAAGACAAGGCAAAATCTGTAGCTCAACAGTTACATATCTGAATGCTGCAACTCAACCCAGCTACTACTCAAAAGTATCACCATGGAAACAGACAGCTCCCACATCACAACTGTGATTGGCTCTTCCTCTTACATCACACTGATGCACAGCCACTCCCAAAGTCATCCCCCAAGTGTGAACGTACAGACTGGCTGTAGATCATCTCCATACTAATGACGGCACTTAGAGGCGCTCTAACTCTGCGTGAGCACTGTCGAGATGCAAGAGACACCGTCTGCTGACGTCAGATGGCCATTCAGGCCTCTAATGATGAACCTAATCATGTGGTAGTGAAAATGGATTTTGACTGAATTTCCATAGAGGTTTTGAAAATTATTATATATAGTCACTGTTTTGTTTAAGCTGTCACCAACTTTTTTTGTGGATGTACCCCTGTCTCTAGGCTTGGTTTAGTTGACCTTTTAATTTATTAAACAATCTACTGTACTTCTTTCTTTCAATTTAAGTCCAACTAATTTGGTGCACATTTGGGGCCGCTGGACTGGAGGCAAATTCCTTGTATTTTAACATTATTGGCAATTATGATTGCCAATAATGCCAATAAAACCTCAAATGGGAAACTGCACTTGTTTATTGCAAGGAAGAATATTTCATCCCATTTTTATTAAGATATACAACTTTTTCTGGCTGAATCTGGAACTAAATATTTGCAAGACTGCTGCTACATTGAAGCAGTTCTCAAACAAACCAGCAGAGGGACCTATCCACCTGAGAAGCAACAGCAGTGGACACAGAGGAGGAGACGGGGAAGCAGAGAGACAGCGCTCAGTAAAATCATCCATGGTTTAATCCATGATGTGCTCAAGCACAGGCATCAGCAGCTGAATTATTCAGTCCCTCCTGTGTTTAATGAGTGCTCCGCTACTCAATAATTCAGCAGATGGATAAGAACTGCCGCAACATACACACAAAAAATCTGATGTCCAATTAAGCAATACAACTTTGTGAATAAATGGTGTGATAATGCAATTAAGAGTGTGAGGAGAATGTGTCAAACTGTGAACTGGAGGCATCAAACATCTGTTCGGAGAAGCTGCAGAGATCATCTCCAAAGAAGTGAGATGAGAGGAAAAAAGCAGTGGAGAGATAGCTAAATATGTTCATCTTAAATTATATAATCCATTGATAATAAAAACATGAACTTAAAGTCAGAAAGACACAGTTGAGCATGAGATACAAAAAGACAGAAGAACAAGATACCCAGAAAACATGTTGTTAATGACAGTTTATATCAACATATACGCTGTACAGTAAAGACTACTATCAACACAGTGTATTATCAAGGTTCTGGTGTTTCTTAATGCCTTCACTTCACAGACAGGATTCTATTTGAATACTCATTTATAAAAGGACAAATGAACATAGAAAAAGTAAATAGAAACCTTGTGTCCTTTCACACCTCAGTACTTGACAAAGAGCCAATCTTCATGTGACAAAGAGAAAATTTTAACATGAGAATTTCACATGTAGTGAGAAGCTTGAGGTATTCACAGCTACAGTTTGTCTGGACCAAACAGATGTTTGTGTTTTCACACTGGTTGTTTCATTCATTTGTGGCCATAACGAAAGATTTGGGGACTTTAGTGACAAACAGGGGAGCTGAGAAAAGCAAATTAAAAGTGGTGCAAGATAAAGTGAAGTGGGCATTTGCAATATCCGGCAGCCAGATCATACTATATTGTATGTCAGCACAACATGCATGCCCAAAAAAGACACTGTCATTTACAGTAATTAAATTAATTAGTAAATTGTATAACACAACATATTAAGCAAAAATCCAGTCAACAGTTAAGCTAATGATATGCAGTAACTAGGGGTGTCCATTCACCTGCTTTTATGCAGACCTTTAAATTTATGTATTAAAAAAACTGAGTGAAACAGAACAGATTTTTTTTTTCTGTTTGGCTGAGGAAAATTTGGTGTACTGACAAAAGCAAAGTGTGACAAAGTGCAATGGAAACGTACAGAAATTCATCATGATGCACACAAAGCATGTGACATAATGCCTCAGATGCTTCTCCTCCACTGGAGCAGACAGGGAGGAGATGGCGTCAGTGATGGTGAGTAAGGCTAAAATTGTTACACGTCATATTATATTTGTTTGAGGTTTGACCTTTTTCTCTCTTCTCTGAGAAAGATGTCTTTTTTCTGCAACACCATGATGACATTCCTACACAGCACCTTACCTGGAGCAGTTTGAGGTCAAGGGCCTTGCTCAAGAGCACCAGTGGTGTGAGTAAGGTGCTGCTTTGTCACCTGTCCCACCCAGATTTAATCCTGCCGGTCTGAGGGATTAAACTGGCAGCTCTCTGGTCACAAGCTCACTTCTAATCTTTGGCATGCCTGTACTGCCAAGATGCCTGTACTCTGGCATCTTGGCTCCTCTTCTTCTGTGCTTTTGTTTAACAGCACCTGATCGGAGAATTTGTGCTATCAGCTGTTTATCTCCACAAACCAACTCCTACTACAGCCAGTGTGTCTTGTAGCTCTAAGCACTTAGACCTTCTACATGTGACTGTGCCTCAGATGTCAGCTGCTCTCTATATCAACAGAGAAATGAAAAACCCACATGACATGGGATGACACTCACACTCAAGCTTGTCCTCTGGACGCCCGCCCTCCAACAATGAGAGGTAACACACAATGTCCTTCAGCTGCACTGTATTCAGAGGCCTGGACAGGGCAGGGGTCTTCAGAGGGGTGGAGCTGCCTTTGATCAGCTTCAGCCCTGGAGGTAGACGGACATGAAAGGTCAAAACATCCTCCACATCTAATGTCAGCCCAACAACCTGCTGACAGTCATACTGCTATACGGCTGCAGCGATCAGTAATGGGCAGTGTCCAGTTCACCTAAAAGGTGAGCAAACAAAACGCCCCATTTTAGCCTTATAAAAATGTTTTGTTTTCAGAGCAGGCCTTTATGCAAGTAATGTTGTATCAATTAAACACATATACAATAATATTCTGACCTGATCTCATTGTGTTTAACGGCTGAGGTTATAGAACCAGCTAACACAGATGGCTCATCATCGGTAGTCATACTTGTAGCCCAGTATCACATGTGGAGTTTTCAGTGGAAACTGAAGTAAAAATATTTGAAAAAAGTGTGTATTTAATGAAAGGACAAGCCTGCCTATAGTACACTACATTCCCTGCACTACATATTAAAAATCACATTAATTTGCCATTATCCTTTTGTCTCTAATACATGTATAAATGAGCTGCATTAACATAATTTATTAATAAAAGTCAGTATATACATGAAGCTACATCAGCCATAAACTCTATTCTCTACTCTGAAAGTATTCAACCACAAGACTTTAAGGCTGATATGAAGCCTTTAGTGAAACTTACAATGACTGTAATAAATATATGGGGCATTTATTATTCATAGACTACATATATTGTATTAATTAGTTTGATCACCAAGAAGCAGATTTAAAAAAAAAAAGCAAAGAGGGGTTCAGCTTCCAGATGTGGATAAGGGTTTCTCCGAGTAGTATTTACTCCGTGCATACTGCTGCGTCCGTGCTTGGTTTGAGAGCTGCCTGCATGAGAATCCCCTGCTAAATTCACAGGTTTCCAGTTGTAGAACCTCACCTTTTACTGCACTGTGCTTCAGCACTGCACAACCAACACAAGGAATGTTTTGAGCTTCCAGCAAAACACTAGTTTGATCCTGCTGTTTAGTGACAGGATAGTCTCTGCTGTAGTAATGCTGGTAAATAAAGGCTAAACAAAAATTAAGATACAGTTTCATTACTTCAAACACTGCATCTGTGCTTTTTGTGGACATCATTATTCTTAACTACAGCTGCTTTGCACACTACAGTACATGCTCCGCCACAGCTCATTAAGTCTCCAGCATTATTCGCACACCAAGCAAAAAAATTACACGATTCTTGTGTTGGCAAAAAACCACAAAGGCCTTACAATATGTTCGACCTACTGATAAATTGCCATGCATGTTTGTCAAAGAAAGTCTCTCAGTTTGATGTTACATACTCTACTGCACATACTATGTTTGGTCACACACCATCCAAAGAGTGTAGACATGTGTGTCACTTTGTCTTTTGGAAGATTTTTTCCCCTGTAGCTGAAAGTCAGTGGGGCTCTGCAGTTTCATAAATGCTGAAAACTTTAGTGGGTTATCTATTTTGAATGAGGCGGTCTGATGGATGCGTCTCCGTGCAGGTGAATGCTGGCTGAACCAAGTGTCCTGACAAACATGTTGTTATAATATTAGTTAGTCATTAGCACAAAGATTTATTAGTTAAATCCTGTAAACAAAACACTATTGCCATAACAACTGGCAGCTCCTACACTACCATTTACATTGTGTGCCACCATACTGGACTTGATAGGAAATCTGTTCGATTGTTTGGTGGCATAAACACAAAGTCAGTGCTGTTTTTACACAACACAAAGTAAAGGCTTCAAAGTTTCTGGAACTGACTAAGGTGGCTCATCTTAAAAATCGTCAAGAACGAGTCACAGAAGTAACACTGTGAGGATAAGGAATAGGTGACAAATTGGCAGCACTTTAACAAATGGTTCTTAAACTGTTCAGTAACTACAAGACAACATTATAACTTTAAGGTTTGCTATGGTAAAGATGTCCTTTCAACACTTACCAGACACTTTGGGTTTGTCAGAAGATGAGGGACTGGGTTTGTGTCCTTTGTTGCTAAACGACATAAAGAGGTGTTGACAGAAGTCTTCAGGGAGTTCGCTCTCCAAGAAAGTCTGCATAAAAACCTTGAAGCCCTCAAAATCAATCTCCTAAAAACCAAGACAGGAAGAAAATACTGTATGTTGTTCGTCATGCCAAGCTTCTTTTGTTGCCTTAAAGGCTTCAAGAAAACAAATGATTCTTAGTATAAGGAGAACGTGTTGTATGTTTCACCTTTCAGGGGATATCTGGGATTATTTGCAGAAGTCATGCTACAGACTTCAACACAGAGGAATGTGTTGTTTGGGCTGTGAACATTTATTTTAGAGCAGGGTCAGTGTTTTTGCAGCTTTTCTCTTTGTATTCGATGCATGTTATGTGGCCTTTTCTACTGTCCAGTAGGCTTACAGCTTCAGGCACCCTTCCAGTGCGAGTTGTCATGTGTAGACTAACAAAAGTGAACCACACAGTATAATTTACATTTTGATTATGAACACCAATCTTCAGGTGAGGAACCATTCTCTGTGTTTGCAAGTCCTCTAGAAATTCATTTTATTGCATTTCTCCCTAAGCATTAGTTTGATTATAAATAATGTTGTTTTACTGCTTCGTTGATCATAAAGAAAGCCAAGTTATTCTGTAGGAACTACAGCATATGGGCACTCAGCAACACACACCAATGATAAATAAGACAGAGAGAAAAGGAGACAACAGTTACCTGGCGGAGGATGTCCTGCTTCTACCACCAGCAGCATAGTACAAAGAAAAAAGGTCAACATGGATGTATCATGTATTCATCACATTCAGCATGTCCATATTAACTGTTGCCTCAAAGACGTGACTTGTAAATGCATAGCTACATTGTTAACCTGCCACTAAATTAACAAGATTCTGGGGAGATTCTGGTGTTTACTGGGAGTTCTGGCCAAAATCGACAATTTTCAGCAGGTGACTGTATGTATGTGCGCCTTTGTATTACCATCATGGGGACCGAAACCTGTTAACACACTCACACTGTGGGGACTCAGCCATCATTGTGGGTACCAGAAGCTAGTCCCCACAAGGAAATCACTGAATTTTAGGGTGGCAACATGGTTTAAGGTTATGATGAGGTTAAAATTAGGTTAAGTATTAGGGTCAGGGTTGGGATTAGGCGAGTAGTGGTTATGGTTAAGGTTAGCATAAGTCTACAGGAAATGAATGCAAGTCAATGTAAAGTCCCCACAAGGAATGAAAACACTGTGTGTGTGTGTGTGTGTGTGTGTGTGTGTGTGTGTGTGTGTGTGTGTGTGATAGTTGGTGTGGTGAAGACTACTGTAGGTGGTGGAAATAAAAATTCTCCACACCTCATTAACACTACCACACAACTGTCAAAGTTAAATACAAATTCCAACCTTGAAATGCTGTTATTAAGGGAGAATAGTTGGATAAACCTTTCAGCTGCAGAGGTGTATTCACATTATTTTTCATGCTAATTTGGCAGATCAGCTAAGTGTGAAAATATTTCGTGGAAAAAGTGCAAATGAAGCAGTAGAATATGCATACAAGTTGCTCTATTAAAAAGTTACCTCAAAATAATTTTATCTGCAATTCTTCATTTAAAATCCACCTTATGTCAGGAAGTGACATTTTTCAGCAGAAACTGCCCATGCAAGGCAAGCAAGACAGCAAGCATAACTCAAGAAACAGACATGATTCTATTCTTTGTCAGTATACAGACAGGCACACACCTTTTGGAGGCTATTAGCAGAGCTGGATTCAAAAGAATATAAACTGTTAGTATAAATGGACCATACCTCCTCTGGATTGTATTTAGCCAACACACCCTCTCCATGGAACTCCTGCAGCACATCTTTCAGCTTCTTGGTTGAGTCTGAGGAAAATCATCAATGTTACTGCATTTGTGTTGTGTTTCATTTTAAAAATGCTGCTTCCTCTTGCTGGCAGTAAGTATACATTTGATAGTACTATATCATCCCAAAGAATGACATGTGATGTGCACCCCCATCAGTGAGTCAGAGCTGTGAAAAAGTAGCCTGAACTTACTGCCAAGGTTGTGTCATGAAGTGAACCTTGCTTAAAGAGCTTAAACTTCTATAGTTGCAGCCATAAACCACATCCCTAAGCAGAACAAGTAGACAAGCAAAAGCTATAAAGCAGGGACCAGCCGATCATTCTGGGAATGTTTCTTTCCCCAAGGGGAGATAAGAAGATTGACATCAGTGAAACAAAACGGGAGTTAGCCTAGCTTAGCACACTTTTCTAAAACAGCAGAACTTGGCATAACTGCTTTATGAACTCTCTCTAGTTCGTCTTTTCAGGCTCAAATTTCATACAGGCCTGTCTTTAGTTCAGTTAGTACACAGATGCTGTAGAATAAACGTCACAGAAAATATTAGCAACAAAGTATTAACGGTAATATTGGCTGATATCCAGCATCTGTTTGGATTTGCATCCAGGTTCCACATAACAGCTTTTTGTCAGCTGTAACATTCTGCTGCCTCCAGCACTAATGGCTTTAGATCTTTGTTTTTCTCAGGATGCATTTTAGCAATAGTGACTAGAAATAAATGCCTGTCATTAGACTGAGTGCAGTCACCATTACTGGCCATTTTTATTAGGACAGTGTCGACACAAAAGCATTACAGAGCAGAGTGATTATGTATCTGCTGACTGCCTGTCACATTCAGCAGGCACTGCTGAATTACTGAGTATTTTATCAATGACACTAATGCTTTAGCCATTGTGTGGCACATAGTAACAAGATGACAACTAGGTTTTAGGCTCAAACACTTTGGAGATTTTATCTTTCAAAGGAGAGGCAATTCTCCATCTCCAAAGCACTCTGCAACATTACACATCTTAGCAATTATCACATAAAGACGAACTCTAATTGTTGTGAGTCAGCTCTTAGGTGCCTGAGTAGGCACAGAACTATTAAAATGTTATGAAAGTGTGCACAGCACTTTAATGAGATGAAAGGGAGACATGCAGGAGAGTTGAGATGAAGGGAAAGATGGGGGGGAGGCGAGGTAAGGTGAGGTCTATTGTTCCAACTCAGAGAACGGGCTATTTTATAACCTGTAGCTGTGCACAAAGAGTCACCCGGAGCTCGTTGAAACGTGATTATCCAAATCTGTCACTATGTGCACACATACACCAAGACTCTTTAATTCTCTTGGTGCCCTGCTTTTTTCATTACACTCTCCACATTTTATTCCAAACACAATTTTCATTTCAAGCTACTTTGTAAAGCTCCATATCTCTGGCATCTTTTGTTTAATTCAATGAACCTCTTGACTATCCACAAAACAAATATTTGCAAAACATGAAAACAATGAGGACCAAAACGAGGCTCGAGCGTGGCATCCACCAGAGAAAGAGTTCCTCAAAGTAGGAGGCAATGTTGTCACTGGGCACAGAACAATTAAGGAAGAAATGTTACATGACAACTCATCATTGGTGAATAGCAAATAAAAGAGGAAAAGGTTTGGCTTGAAGATGTTTGCCACTGAAAATAGCCCTGAAATATTTCCACCCATTGTATCCACCCTGTTTATCACACAAGGAGAACAAAAAGCACTTAGGACCTTTAAAAGCTGGACACCAAATGACACTCGTCCATACTTAGCTCCATCATTTGTCTTCCTACAAATGATTTACTGTGAGTGACACCATGTGCTTTCCAAGTCTGTCCAAAGTATGTGTGGGTGGTGCACAACATCCCGTAGTTAGCCTGCCAGGTACTGTCAGATTTTCCATCCATGGTACCCTTTAAAATGATGAAATGTGTCAACATCTTTGACCATAACAAATTCCAGGCATCCGAGCACAGTCTGCTGGGCTGTGGAGCCCTTTGTTGGGTTGTGGATGATTCATTCTGAGCCCTAACGGCACCACGCTTCCTACATCAGTAAGACAAACAGCTGGCATTTACAACATTACATTTTTGGGAGGAACATTTGAGGTTAACCATACTGAACTCAAGTTTACAACAAGCACATTTTGTTGTTGTTAAGTCAGTGGTTTGAAGCTACCAGGGAAGATTTACTGAATGTATGTGTGTCTTGCTGTGCAGTGAATTCATACTCAGCCTTCCAACAACCCAGAGTGATGAAGAGAAAATGTTCCTCAAGACAAAAACACTCAGATGATGTGAACTGGGGGAAACTAGAGACACATCCCAGACATAATGTAGTGCTGAGACAAATACAGTACTTCAACATTTTTAGAAATGCATCATTGAGCATTTTTTTAAAAACTGAAGTTAGATGAGTTTCTTTATGTACACATTTCATAGAAAGACTGGTCCAACACAGAGCTAATGAAAATGACACCATCCAGCATCTCCACAACGGTCTCATTTTATGTTGTAACATGTTAGCAAACAAGATAGCGGCAACACATCCAAATATTTAAACTGGCAACTTCATAATTACATCATTATGAGCTATTTAGAGGCACCTCTGACATCTACCTACTTCAGCACTTTTTCTCTGCTTCCAGTTTTAATGGTAAGCTATGTTACACGTCATGAACTTACAGTATTTCAGTACTGAACACAAAGAGATGAAATTACTGTACATCTGCCTTCATCTAACTCAAAGCAACGAAACAAATGCATTTCACCAATGTTAGTGTTAACTATGCAGTGCTGTTCATCAATTCCAACTGTGATCACGGTATGAAAAGAGGATTTGCTTGTAGAGTAACAAAACACTGTGGAAAGTAATGACTAGACACAAGGACAACATTGCTATAGAACCTAGAAAAACGGCCTAACCCTGTAATAACATCTCTTTTATCCCACATCACAGAGTGATGCAGCTAAGAAGGTAAGCAGCTGAAAAATCAGTAGCTATGTGTTTTACGATCAACGACACAGACCTAGTTTAAACTTCTTTTTTTCCTGTGAGGTTTGCTTGAACTGCACAAATTTCTCATGAAATCCAACAGTGTACAACCACACTGATCATTAGCATAATCAAAGTCAAGTAGACTGTTTCGCTCCACTGACAAGTTTCAATCATAAAAACGCCACCCAAGACTCACACAAAGAATCTGACCGTCCTGCTAAAATAGAAGGACACAAACTTAGCATTTAGTCAAGTAAGTAGTGGGACCTGAAATGAATATGAATGAAAGAAGATACTATAGCTGTCATTTACAGAGCATAAGGAGACACAAATAAGGTAAGGAATGATATGACATGAACCTAGATGCCAAAAATCATCTCACTAAAGCAAAGCAGTCCCTGACAGGAGGTGTCCCAAAACGTGACAGACTGGAATGAGAGAATACTGTACAGTAGGTGATGTATTCACCTGCACAGCAACTTGTAATAAAACCTTGGAGGCTGTTGAAAATGTCCTTGTAACTATACTGAACCGAATGAACGCACACATTTTTATTTTTTTGTTGCCTTACAAAGCACACAGAGAGCCTCTATACCAGAGTCAAATTCCTTGTGTGTTTAAATATACTTGATCACTAAAGCCGATTCTGATTTCACAGTACTCATGGCAATAACAAACCATAACAAACATGAACCCAAAAATTACAATTAACACATTAGTGTTGTTAAACCAAAGCGTTTCCCCCTGTGATTCAGTACAACAGAAGACTGGATTTTATTTTAGATGTATGAGCAGTGGAGGAAGAAGTACTCGGATTCTTTACCTAAGTATCAATACCACAATGTAAAGATACTATGTTACAAGCAAAAGTCTTCCGTTCTGTACAAAAGTTTTAGCATCAAAATATACTTAATGTACAAGAAGTAAAAGTACTCATTATGCAAAATGGAACAGTTCACACTAGTGTATAATATTGACTAGTTATTTATGGATCATTGCGTGTATCACATTTAATGCTGCAACTTGTAAAGGGGGGGATGTTTGTTTTCAAACTACAAAAATGCCTATCAGTATAGCCCAATACAATTCAAAAGCAGCACAAACTACATCTTCTTAAACGGTGACATAGTTGAATCAACACCAATCTACAACAGTTTCAACACAAACTGAACATGATCACCTTCACGAGGGAGGATTTATTGCAGGGCTGTTTTATTATACTGTATTAGTTTTAGGTCAGTGTATTTAATAAACTGACAACTAACTGCACAACACCACATAAAGTGGTTATAGTGGACATGTTAGCAAAGAGTTTAAACACCCAGCAGGATAAAAGCAAAAGCAGTCATCTGGCCTCGACTAGCTGATGAATGTCCAGTGTTCACGGCTCTGTCAGCTCTGTTTGGTCACCGTATATTTCCTTAGGGAAATATGTGGCTGTTAATGGCCCACTTTCTCCACTGGCTAGTCGCTAACTTTGTCTACCATTTAGCATTGGACAGGCTGTGCACAGTGACTTACAGAGCTTGCTGCTGGAACCGAAGCTAATGAGAATGAATCTCAGCACTGAGCTAAAAGACATTAAAACCTTCTATACACGACCCCCCACTTACATTATACCCAGTCATTTGATATATTAATATTGGCTTGTAAAGATGTCAACATACACAACACAATCTATCATATGGTATAGTCACTTCAGGACATCCATGAAATCAGTCACAGGTTACTTTTTCTGCTCTTATCAGCAGCTGTTGGCAAAAATCTACAATGACTGCCTGAGGGTATGGCATGTCATCTTGGAAATGATGGTCAGCACTGGCTACACACACAAAACATCTCCTTAACACCATCAGACACAAAGAGAGAGTGCAGCTCTCCTACTCACACTGAGCGTATTCCTGTAGCAGGGCAAATTCAGCTGGGGTCAGTGTGACCCATTTGTCCTGGCTGCTCATTGTGTTCAGGCCTTGTCTCTTTGTAAGCCGAGCATTCCCCGAGCAGCAGCACACAGTGGGGACACTGAAAAACAACAACAGGCATTATATCACCTGCCTTGTTAACAGCCAGAAACATCTCCTTTTGCTTAATGGAAGTGAAAGTAGAGCAGGTTCAATACACCAGCGATGCAGCTAAATTAACTCAGAGCTGGAGACGCTTGTTGCCAGTAATTAGAGCTTGTAGCCAAACAGCTGTTGGTGTATTGTAAAAGGTCAGAAATTGATATATCAATACTGTCATTCTGGTCCTATAGCTCTGATATACTGGACATGTGAGATTTCCCTGTTTTCCTGCCTGATTCTTTTCGGCTGTCATCTCAACACTGTAAAATGACAAAACATCCCTTTGCCTCTTGAGCCTTATACATGTTTTTTCAAAGCTGTGGTAGGGACTTTGCAACAACAATGACAACACAGACATTCCTATTTGTCAGCCAGTGACGGGTGGATTTAATGTTTAACACAAGCCAATAACCAGGATACAGACAGTACTGATACACACACGTCATAAGTTTAAATAACATTAAAGGAAACATTTGAGAAAAATGTGAGATTTTTGACCTATTCTCATATTCTCCACTTTTATGTCCGGATTTTTTAGGCAGTTTTAAATGAGTTGAAAAAATTTTTTCAAAAAATTAACTTTTTTAAAATGAAGTGACAAATGCTCTATTAAGCTACATACAGGTGCATCTCAATAAATTAGGACATCGTGGAAAAGTCCATTTATTTCAGTAATTCAACTCAAATAGTGAAACTTGTGTATTATATAAATTCAGTACACACAGACTGAAGTAGTTTAAGCCGTTGGGTCTTTTAATTGTGATGATTTTGGCCCACATTTAACAAAAACCCACCAAATCACTATCTCAATAAATTAAAATATGGTGACATGCCACTCAGCTAGTCAACTCAAAACACGTGCAAAGGTGTCCTGAGCCTTCAAAATGGTCACTCAGTTTGGTTCACTAGGCTACACAATCATGGGGAAGACTGCTGATCTGACAGTTGTCCAGAAGACAATCATTGACACCCTTCACAAGGAGGGTAAGCCACAAACATTCATTGCCAAAGAAACTGGCTGTTCACAGAGTACTGTATCCAAGCATGTTAACAGAAAGTTGAGTGG